CGCAATGTCTCAGAATAATCCTCGTGTTTATGTTCAAGCAAATCATTAAGTTACTGCCAGAATAAGGCAGCTGCTGCAAGCGGTGTGGATTTAAACGGGGGGCCCGAGGCTGCAAGTGATTGTACCTGCACTCCGATGTGGACAGATTAACGCGACAATGGGGGGCGGGCATCTCCCATGGTGGGGGGGGGGGGTCCCTACTACTCACAGTCATCTCCCACGGGCCCTGCCGAGCACTGCGCAGGGGGGTCCCTTCCGAGGTCATTTAATTCCTGGTGGAGAGGCCGGGTGGGGGGCATAAGTGGGTTGGGAGGGGGGGAGACACCAGGTTAATGTCAATGCATTGTTTACAATTACATTGTTTTAGTTGTAAATGTTCCAGTGTAAATGTTTTGTACCGTGCGAAATTAAAATGAGGTTATGCGCTCCAAATCGCCCTTTCAAAAATAAACACCACTTCAATGGGTTTATTTCATCATCTCCTAGATTTAAAAAAACGAAACTTTGCTCTTGATCACGTTACAGAAAAGGACAGACCCCAAGTCGGGTGCGGGGTTGTTAAACCCCATAGAGCGAGGGGCCTTCTGAGTGCTTAATGCCTCGTCATGCACTGCGCGTTTTGTCTGGTTCCGGGTACTGCAGCTCATTCAACCCCCCACAAAAGCAAAACGGGTTCAAGCATAAAATGGCCTCGCATCCAAATTAAAACAGGACCCTTGTTGAAATAATCGTGAGACTTGAAAGCTTTTCCTTCACGACTATACAAGATGTAATCGATGTATAAAACCACAGGATCGAAGAGCAAGGCCCTCCTGAACAAAACAATATTGCTCGGTTTTAAGGCTTTCCAGTGTCAAGGTACGGCACCGGTGACACACACACACACATTGGTTACACACACACTGCGCCGTGAACTCGGCTACCCGAAATCGATTCCCGGCTCGCGTCGGTGATGATGGATGTGTCAGAACCGGTCCAGACCTGCAGCACAACCGCACCCACCACCACCCCCCTCCCACTACCGTCACCACCACCACCACATTCCCCAAACCGGCACCGCCTAGCGCGGCTACGTATCCCGCGAGCCCGACACGGCGTACGGGAAAACCTTGGGACCGACATTCGCTGGGAATCACTCCGATGAAGCCGAAGGGGCCCGGCCCCACCGTCCCAGTGGCCTCCCGGCGCCCCTCCGACCGACGAGACGGCAGGGCCCCAGTGTCCAACTCGACCCCCCCCCCATACGCAAGGGTACGCATTTGGGTTAACCCCCCTCCATGCGTACGGACTCAACGTATGGCCCCCTAACACTGCCAGTCCTCCTGTCAATCCTGTCCCGTCACGGCCCCGTACACCAGGGCCTGCCACCAGGGCCTGCCACCGGGCCTGCCACCGGGGCCTGCCACCGGGGCCTGCACTAGGCCCCACGTCTCTGACTCAATGCCGCCCCCATCTTTCATCACGCACGCACCCCCCACCATATTCTTGTTCCTCCCCCTCGCTTAGCTTCTTCTTGTTCTACACGCATGTCCTTTTGTCTCTGCTCTTGTCCATACGGTGTATGTAGTCTGTCGATTGTGTTTGTATAATTCTGATGATTCATCATTATGTTGTCAACGCGCTCTGGGGCTCGCTTCCGTGTCGACTATCCCCCCATCGTCCTGATAATCTATTTCTCTATTCAACCTCGCTCAAAGGTACATCCCCCGTCTATTGTCTGTCCCCATATTCCTCCGGTCTCTCCGTCCTTTCTTCTGCCTCGCTTTCCTGTCGTGTGTCTGCCCGTCTCGTCAGGTTTATTTCTACATTTCACCCCCTCCCACACCCCGCCCTCGTCCGCTGTCAACGTCTCTCTCGTGTCTTCGTCGTTAGTCTCGTCTGTCCCCCTCCCCTGCCGTGTCTCTTGTTACTCCGTCTCGATGTCGACGTCGTTTCTTTCTCTTCCTCACTCCCGTGTCTCCTTTATCGCTTCCATATCGGGTCTGGCCCGTTCTGGTTTTTTGTTATCTCGATGGCGTCCACCCGGTCTCGCTCGTGTCTCTCTCTGCGGCGTCTCTTTCTCGGTGTCCCTCTCGGCCCCCCACCCCGTCTGTGTCTCTTCCGTCTCGGCTCGTCTCAAACACGCGGCCTGTAGCACGCCCCTCGCACCCAAGCGCTCCGCTCGCTTGGAACCCCCCCCCCCCCCCCGGCTTATCCACGCGCAAGGCAACGGCTCCAGTACCTTGTGGATTCTCTTGAGCGCCATGACGAACAGTGCTGTGAGGCGGTTGTTTGTAGAGGATGAGTGTTGTTGTGGTGGTTAAACTGTTGCGGTTGTTGCCACGTTGTCCTATTCGCTGCGGTTACCAAGTAGCACCCGTCACCTCTCGGTTCACTGTGTCGCCGCAGCCCCGGTGTCCCCTTTTATATGCAGGCGATTAACGCAGCAACGCGATCACTGCGCGCCTCGCAAATAGTGCGCCGCAGAAATCCTTCACTAAAAATTCACCGGACCGGTTTGGTGAATTTTATCGGCAACTGATCGCGCTCGCCGCACCATAGGCACCTTCTCGCTATGTCTGCGGAGCGACGTCAAGCTGCAGTCCACCGCGACGTTGCCGCTTCCTGCAGAAAGATCCAGAAGGCGCAAGGATACACGGAGGGGCGCGAGGAGGACTGCTTTCTCAGACCGGAAGCACGTAACGTTGGTATGACGTCACACGGCTAGAGGCGCTCTGACGTAACCACTCTGCCACCGCACCCCGGACTTGAAACTTGAAACCGGGGACATTGGAGACCGGGGGAGGGGTCGGGGGGGGCAGTCGGGGGAGGGGTGGGGGGGCAGACGGGGGAGGGGTGGGGGGGCAGACGGGGGAGGGGTGGGGGGGCAGACGGGGGAGGGGTGGGGGGGGCAGTCGGGGGAGGGGTGGGGGGGGCAGACGGGGGAGGGGTGGGGGGGCAGACGGGGGAGGGGTGGGGGGGCAGACGGGGGAGGGGTGGGGGGGCAGACGGGGGAGGGGTGGGGGGGGCAGTCGGGGGAGGGGTGGGGGGGCAGACGGGGGAGGGGTGGGGGGGCAGACGGGGGAGGGGTGGGGGGGCAGACGGGGGAGGGGTGGGGGGGCAGTCGGGGGAGGGGTGGGGGGGCAGACGGGGGAGGGGTGGGGGGGCAGACGGGGGAGGGGTGGGGGGGCAGACGGGGGAGGGGTGGGGGGGGCAGTCGGGGGAGGGGTGGGGGGGCAGACGGGGGAGGGGTGGGGGGGCAGACGGGGGAGGGGTGGGGGGGCAGACGGGGGAGGGGTGGGGGGGCAGACGGGGGAGGGGTGGGGGGGCAGTCGGGGGAGGGGTGGGGGGCCGGGTGGGGGGGCAGACGGGGGAGGGGTGGGGGGGCAGACGGGGGAGGGGTGGGGGGGCAGACGGGGAGGGTGGGGGGCAGACGGGGGAGGGGTGGGGGGGGCAGTCGGGGGAGGGGTGGGGGGGCAGACGGGGGAGGGGTGGGGGGGCAGACGGGGGAGGGGTGGGGGGGCAGACGGGGGAGGGGTGGGGGGGGCAGTCGGGGGAGGGGTGGGGGGGCAGACGGGGGAGGGGTGGGGGGGCAGACGGGGGAGGGGTGGGGGGGCAGACGGGGGAGGGGTGGGGGGGCAGTCGGGGGAGGGGTGGGGGGGCAGACGGGGGAGGGGTGGGGGGGCAGACGGGGGAGGGGTGGGGGGGCAGACGGGGGAGGGGTGGGGGGGCAGACGGGGGAGGGGTGGGGGGGCAGTCGGGGGAGGGGTGGGAGGTGGGGGACAGACAGGGGAGGGGTGGGGGGACAGACGGGGGAGGGGTGGGGGGGCAGTCGGGGGAGGGAGATGGGGGACAGATAGGGGAGGGGTGGGGGGGGGGCAGACGGGGTGGGGGGCAGACGAGGTGGGGGCTGTTTGAGTGGGGGGGGGGGTAGATTAAGTTTATTTTATTGTCCAGGTGTTAATTCATCCGGTCAGTACAGCATTATGGCAGTACAGTGTATTGTCTTAAGTTGCTAAGAGTGACCTTGGCGAAGGGGTAAGTGGGGGGGTAGTATGTGGGGGGTGAGGAGTGTGTGGGGAGGCTGGGGGGTGAATGGAGGCAGTCGGTAAGAGGACCACATGGCTTCCAAAGATAGACGCCGGTCCACCCCGACTGGGGAGCCCAGGGACCCCCCACAACTGTCCGGCCCTTCCGGCAGGGACTTCCCACTCTGGGTCAGGAGCGCTCGGTGCTTTCCACGAGGGCGCAGTTGTAGCGGCTGACGTCAGCGTCCGTTCCGGGGCTGGCCCCACGTGGTGCGGCCACTGCTCAAACGAGTACGTGGGAGCTACAAGCGCTGTGAATATATTTACTGAAAAACATCACTCGCCAGTGACAAACTCAAGTATCCGGGCAGGTGCTGGGTGGAATATTTTTACATGGCAGGTTCGTAATAAATGGCGACGGCTTTGGTCAGACATTCATCCAGCAGTGAATTGATCAGGGCCGATGATGACATTCAAGAGAATTAATCGAACGCGTTAGAGGTGGATGCAGCAGTCGCAGCCGCATAAAGTCGAGCGGTTCCTACCCTAAGCACTGGAAAGTAGTGCAAAGTCCCGCCACTGATGGTGATGTGGTGACTTGAGGCGAGAATTCGCCTGCGCTATTAATTTGAGAGCTGAACACCACCTGTCGCCCGGACCTTGCACCCACGACCACGGGGTCCCCCGCGACACGTGGGGGGGGGGGGGGTCATGCGACACGTGGGGGGGGGGTCACGCCACACGTGGGGGGGGGGTGATACTCTTAGGTTTTTTCGGTAAAGTCACGTAGGTAAAAAAATAAAATTACTAAAATGATAGAAATAAAATAATAAATCACGACGTTTCGGAGGCAACACAAGTCTCCGTCATCAGGTGGGACCGTCACAGGGTGATCCCACACGTGGGGGGGGGGGGTTATGCCACATGGGGGGGGTGATCCCACACGGGGGGTCATGCCACGTGGGGGGGGGGGGGTCATGCCACACGCGATGCCCTCGTGCTGAATGAATGAGCGCGCTTCCGGGCGCGTGACGTCCCCGTTGGTGACGTTCTGCCGTGACGTCACCGCGCCACGTGACCGCCAGAGAATCAAGATGGCGTCTTCCGAGGCGCCACGCGAGGCGAGTTCCAGGCTGCGGCCTAGGGGCAGGAGGGGGGCGATTCGCGAACTCGGAGACGCGGAGACCGCGCACAGACACGCGGGGAGGGACTTGCGGTGATCCCAGGATCCTGGCGGATAATAGAGCCTCAGAGCTGCAGGGTCTCGGTGATGCACGAGCTCCGGGGCTCGTGAGATGCAGGGGCACCGGGCCGGGGAGAGACGCGGGGATTCGGCGGGCACGCGGGCTTGGTGACGAGGACTTTGTGGAGACACGTGGACTCCGAGAGATACGTGGATAGAGGAACACAAATACAGAGTCTTGGGGTATCCCAAGTCTGATAGATCCTCAGAGATACAGTCCTCACGAACCCACAGACGCGGATACTCGTATGTACAGCGACTGGCAGATATACAGATGTTGAGAAACAGATGTTGAGAAACAGGGATCCAGGGACTCTTAGATCCAGGAACTCCGACATAGGCACTCTGAGATCCATGGATAAAGCAACTGGGTAACAACTCGGAGATTTAAGGATACGGAGATGCATTAATTACTCGTGGAGTCGGATACTCAGACACTCGTTCAAAGGGACTCTGCGAGTACTTGTACGTGTACATCCGTGAGTAAAAACAACTCTGCCTTCCTCTCTTGAATCTGCGAGACTCGCACATTCAATAGGGGCGCCGCGTGTTGCGAGGTGTTAACTACCTCGCCTGGTGTGCAGGAGGTCGTGGGTTCGTCCCGACCCTGACGCCTGCTGCTGCTGTATATTCGAAGTTTGCGTGTTCTCCCTGTGGTCGCGTTGATTGTTTTCTCTGGGTCCTTCGGTTTTCTCACCACATGAACAAAAACAGTCGTTTATAGTACTGTACTTGGCTGCTATACTTCTCCACATAAGCCACTTCGTTGAGCTATCATTTGTGGCCAGGTCTATTCTAAATAAAAGAACTATATGGCTGAGTGGACTATACCTGGTAAAAATAAAAATAGTAACTTTAATACATAGTAATGGACACAGTGACGAGGAGCTATTACGAGTTAGGCTCAGAGATACTGGACAGTATGGTACCCAAGCCGGTGGTTCTCCGTTCCGCGGGATCCATGGCCACTTGCACCATTAGTCTAGCATTGTTACGTGAGGGCGGTGGTGGTGATGATGGAGGTGTGGTGGACGAGTTGGTGTTTGTGTTAATCTGTTGGCGGCACAGGAGATGGTGCGATGGTGTCACGTGATTGTCACCTCGGGGTTGTCGTGTGCTAATGTCATGCCGTGGCTGTGACAGATGGCTGCGTCTCACCATTGCGACATGGATTTGTCGCGTATCGCACCCATCGTGCTGTTAGAGTTGTGTCGTGTGGCACTGTCACATGGGTGTGTCACATTGTGGCTTGTCACACCGTGTTTCCCCCGTGTGAGGTGTCTCTCACCAATGCTGTGTGTCTCGGGAAGACTATCTCTCCCTTCCCTCCCTCCTTGTCTCTGTAGCCGGGGCTGGATGTCCCGGCTGCGCCGGAAGTCACTGAAATCGCAGTGGCTTCGGCATCGGATGGGGAGGAGAGCCAGGAGGACAGCACTGGCCAGGAGGTGGTCTTGCCAGAAACGGAGATGAAACACCCGCTTGAGAACCGGTGAGGCCTCTCACGGGGAGAGAGAGAAACGCCACGACGTGAAGGAGATTGAGTGTTGGTGTATAGCCTGCATAGTGTTATGTAGTCTGCATAGACTGTTGGGGCAACTGCTGTAAGCAAGCGCTTAGTAAGGCCAGCACGAGAGAGTGATGTGACCAGCAACACAAACTGCACCAGTTACTGATTTTAGGTTGTGTGTCACGTGTGCATTGCCACAGGTGGGCGTTATGGTTTTTCAAAAACGACAAAACGAAAAGTTGGCAGGCGAACTTGCGCCTCATCTCCAAGGTGGACACGGTGGAGGACTTCTGGGCGTGAGTGCTCCACCCATCTTCCCTGACCTACCTCTCCTCCAGGAGCCTCACACCAGACTTGGGGTTCATTTATAATTCCAATTACGTTGCGATTGCAATTAATTGGAAAAAATAACAATTGCAATTGATCCCAGGTCTGCCATACACACAACAACAACAGACACCATTTGCTACGTAGTCGTGGTGATGTCAACACGTTCCTTGTGCCAGACTAGGCCCACTAGGAGGCCACATGGAAGGCTTGCTGGCAGGGAGTCATGGGACTGAGATGGCTCGCAGAGAGACCACCGGCATTCCCTACTGTGCTAATGGTTCCGCACATATGCACAGTGCGAGGCAACTTGGTCTCGGCGCATGATGGGGGGGTGGTTGGGGTGTTCGTGAATTGCGCTGTCACCTTGATTTGATGGATCAAGTTAATTGTCTTGAGGGCCAGATTCATGTCTTCATCAAACATCTGAAATGCAATGCGGCACCTGGGCAGTTTGCCCCATTGATAGTGATTTGAGACCTCAGAGTCATTACCATATCTTTTTTACAAAATCTGACAAATGAAAAGGGGTGGTCGATAACATGGGAATTGGACCCAGAAAACCTCAAACCAGCATTGGGGCAGTATTTGCCACTTTTAGTGGTCATTAACCCGGGGCATACATTCCATATTTCCGTGGTGGGGCCATAGGAAAAAACCTTTGGACAAAGTCATACTCTTTATATAACCCATGAGTGGAGTTGACACAAGAATGGGATATTAACTTTTCAATCTTTCGATAGCAAAATTAAATGCTCAACACTTTATTCCACTGTAGTCATAGAGATGGTCAAAAGACTGGAACTGATGATTTAATTGTTTTTTTAGGGGTTTTTAAAAAATTATATTCCAATCGTGCTATCAGTATCATGCAAATAAGATGACGAATCCCTTTGGAAATCTCACAGAGCAATGCATACCTCTGCAATTCAACTGGTATTAGCTGAGGGGTATTTTTAGTTGCCTTTCGTCCACATTAGGTAGCAAACCTTCTCACATGCTCGTCAATTTCATTAACCACAGTGTTCTACAACACTGCACGATACATGTTTAACTTTACTGAGTTTGGTTTGGTGTCTGGTGTGGCTTGGCAACGACGGTGTGCCAGTAACCACACGCGTGGTTCCATCCAGCAGCTGAGGAGGTCACAAGTCTCTGAGTGCAAGGAGTATTGGTGTCACGCCTGGCAAAGGGTTGGAAATTAAATCAATTAGTTGTACCCCGTGTTGCCATGTGCCCCCCCCGCCCCCAGGCTGTACAACCACATTCAGGTGGCGAGCCACCTGCTGTCAGGCTGCGATTACTCCCTCTTCAAGGTGAGTGGTGCCACGTTAGCCTACGCCAAGCGTCACGCGTGCACAGCGGTCTCCCGGCTGCCGGTTTGAGATCGTATTTTGACCCCAAAAAAAAGATTTGGACCCCGGAGTGTCAGTCATTTATATTTTTTGAACCCTGGTTATACCATTTATATTGCAGCAATAAGACTTTACCCTCCCAGCGACGAAATGACCTCCGTCCTGGGTCAGAAGATGATGTATTAATTAGACGGCAGGTGTTGTCCACAGAATTGTGTTTGTTATAATGCATTGTAGAGAGACCTGCTGTGTCTTGTTTGCGTCCGCCAGGATGGGATAGAGCCCATGTGGGAGGACGAGCAGAACAAGCGCGGGGGCCGGTGGCTCGTCACGCTTAGCAAGGGCCAGCGCCACTCGGACCTCGACCGCGTCTGGCTAGAGACGGTGCAGCCCCCCCTCCCTCCTCCCACACACTCAGAATCTGAATATTTAAGCTGGAGGAATTCGATGAGTTATAAAGATTTTCAAACAAACGTTACAACGTTCTGACCACCCCACCAGTCGTGCTCATCACCAGGCAAAAAGCTGGCGATAACAATAATAATGATTCATCTTCTTGGTTCTTTCGGTAAAGTCACGTAGAAGGGAAGTAATAAAATTAAAAAAACATAAAATAATTCTCACGACGTTTCGGCCACAACGCAAGTAGCCGTCCTCAGGTGAAAACCAGGTCTGTCGAGGCGACAGCGTCTGGTTTTCACCTGAGGATGGCTACTTGCGTTGTGGCCGAAACGTCGTGAGAATTATTTTATTATGTTTTATTTTTTTATTTTTATTATTTTATTACTTCCCTTTTACGTGACTTTACCGTAAGAACCAAGAAGATGAATCCCTGCAGTCACGAAAGCTTTAAATCGAAAAATAATAATGATTGCTCATTTCTAGCTCTCCAGCGTGTTTGTGTGCCGGGTGTCATTTGGCGTGATGTCCGACGTTCCCTTCCAGCATCCTCAAATCTACACCAGAGAATGCTGCACGTTTTTCTCACCTGCACTGCTCTGGGGGCGTGTTTGTCCGATGGCAATCCTATTTGTATTAATTCCACAGAGCTTCAATCAATCAACATTTATTTTACGTGCCAATATTGGCCTGAATAAATTAGGCATCAGTGCACATTGCATCAGAATGGGAACAGTACAGGGGCATAATTAAGCCAAAGTCCACTCTAAACCGCATCCACACAAACCATGGCAGATGCAGATATCTGGAGAGTTTTATTACATTCCATTTGTGCATCAATGTGCAACTGTGGTCATCCAGAACGGACCATAAAACATATGATGACACCATGCCCAATCCACAAATATTAAGGAGACATTACAGCAATACACTCCGCTGGTCCTGATGCGGATGTCTGGCTTGACCATCTGACTTAAATTGTAGTTGTTGCTCTGCATCTACATCAGCCACACTTGAAATCACAGGCGGCCGAAATGTCGATTCCGCCGCAGTGTCATCAGGAGTGCTGGCTCCGTGTCTCGGGCACGGAGCCACTCCGCTGAGCCACCTTACCATGTGGACAGCCCCCGTTAAGGCGCCATGTGAATGTGTCGCGTTTGTGGCCGATGGCCCGCACGGTGCCCGCAGCTCCTGTGTCTGATCGGCGAGGCATTTGACGACCACAGCGATAACGTGTGCGGCGCCGTGGTGAACATCCGCGGCAAAGGAGACAAGATCGCGGTGTGGACGCGCGACTGTGACGACCGCGAGGGCATCATGACCATCGGGTGAGTTCTGTCAACACAACACGGTTGCTACTCGCAAACTCACGACCAACAAACTCACCATAACCATCACCAACGCGCTACTGCTCACTCACCACCACAGTAACAACCATTGAACACGACGCAACCCATTCCGTATTTGCCAGCATTCCCTCACTATCGCACACCATGCACCAATTGTTCACAGCCATACTCACTTCCATGCACTCGCCACCACCACGCGCTTACGACTGCGCCCTCGCCAACCAACCCTCACACACGTACTCTACGCAGCGGTGAGACACTTGAGTATTTCACCTCCCAGTCTCTCCCCCCTTGCCCATGTTCCTCCCCCCCCTCCCCTTGCCCCTCCCCCCTACAGGAAGGTCTACAAGGAGCGGCTGGGGCTGCCTGGCAAGGTGCACCTGGGTTACGAGTCCCACTCAGACACGGCCACCAAGAGCGGCTCCACCACTAAGAGCATGTTCACCGTGTGAGCCCCATGGAGCCACATGGAGCCTGCCGCACACCCCACGGCAGTGGCCCTGGGGCGGAGCGCCGGAACGGACTCGGCCACGGATCCAGTCACGTTGGGGGGCGAGGTGGCTGCGGTGGGGGGGACACGGGAGGGTGGGGTGGGAGGGGATCTGTGGGATGTCAGGGCTGGTGCTCACGAGTACCGTGCGCTTAGGGAGACGGGGAACGAGCGGAGTTGGGGACGGGGATGGGTGGGCGGCCATGGGTGGCTAGAGGGAAGAAGTCACTCTGCCTGGCGACGGGGTATTCGGGGGAGACGGCTGGATGTCCCCCGAAGCGTTTTAGCATTATTTGGACGGGGGTTTTGCTGTTTTTCCCTGCGTGGAGGAGTCTGCCGTGTGGCGTGACGGTGCAAGCAGCATCGGAGGCGGCAGGGGAAGAGGGGGGCAGGTTAGTCGCATGACCTTGCGGGGGTCGTGACACGTGTGGCGCTGCCCCCCCAACCCCCACCACCCCACACCCCCACGGCTTCTGATAATTTTACGTTAATTTTTATTTAATTCGATTTTCTTTAGCAATCGCAGATAGTGGTTTTGAATTGGCAGCAGGTGCGAAGCGAGTCCGACGTGATTTTGTCGGAATGGCTGTTGCTGCTGTTGCGTGGGCCCCAAGGGGTCGCGGTTCTCTCCGGGTTTGGTTTTTAGTGTCGCCGGGAGGCACCGGCGCGAATTTAGACCGAGCTGAGGTGGCGCACCAGGACCGGTGGCACGCGTGCCGATGGGTGCCACGCGTGGAAACGTCACCCACCCAACCTTGCATTATTCGCATGAAAAAACAAAAACAGACAAAAAAAACTGAGGTGGCGAGACCTCTGCAGTGCACGTGATATGCCGGCCGAGAGATTTGTCTACGCACACATGGGGCCTGTCCACCCAGCCGTCGGGAACGAGGGCTGGTGTGTGATGTAATCAGTGTGGTTGAGTGTCGGCCGGTGTGGTCGGTGCGATTGCTGTGGCCAAAAACGAAATGGTGTGGTTCGCGTGTCCTGTTGATTCGAGTGCTTTGGTTTTATGTGACTGGTTGGGAGTGGCTGCTGCCTGTTGCGTTTGCTGTGGTCAGATTTCTTAGTTGGCCAGGCTGGTGGTGGTGGTGGTGCCGGCGATCCGTCGCGTGACTGTTGTGGCCGCGACCCACCACCCACCCTCTTGGCGCCCCACACTGAGCCCCACCGCCAGCCTGGCCCAGGCCGGCTGCCGCGTGCCCCGCCAAGGTGCAGCCACGTCTGGGGCTGGGCCACCGCCGCTGCCATGTGTATGTGCCGTGCACAAATTTACGGTGGGGGGTGAGGGATGCCTCGCCAGCGTCGACGCACGGTCAGGAGTGTTCAAAATCTCCTCGTAACGGATCTCGCCGTAGGCTGATCAAATGCACCTTACCGAGACTCTCTTAACCGCAGCAACGGTGCGGAGTGTTAGGACGGGGTGGGGGGGGACTGGGCTTGGGAAGGGTCATATTTATATTCCAGAAAAAAAGAGCATCACCTCTCCCTTCTCAGCCTGTCTTCCCCTTTCGGGTGAGCAGTGGTGGCCTTTAACTGGGCAGGTGTCTCGTATCCCTCGCAGGGCGACGCCTCTGCCGGGGCTAGTGTTGGGGGGGGGGGGGGGGTCAGCAGCCTCTCATTGTTGTGACCCCTGACCAAGGGTTGGGTATCGGTGTGAGAGTGGTGCCATAGCGGTTGGGACGGCGGCAGCGCTGGGCCTGGTTGACGTCTCACAGTCGCATTGACTGCATCATGCGAGCGAGGGAATGCACAACTAGAGACGCGCTTATATTTTACCGGAGACGAATTAAACAGAAAACTATATTGAAGTTTTGTTGCTTCTGTGGGTGCGGCTGTTGTCTCTTAAGCTCGTGTTTTTCCTCTTTTTTTTGCGCGTCCTGCATTTTGCAAGACACCTTGCATCGCTCCCCTTGACCACATCCCATAACTTGGCACGGTCAATTTCTGCCCGCCAAGAATTGCTCTTACAGCCGCGTCGCCACCACCACCATCAAGCGTGATGTCTTCGCTCTGTGTTACGCGGTCAACACGTCCTTCAAGGACTGCGCTTAGTCTCGTAAAGCACCATTACCGTCCAGCATTAAGGCTTCCCCTTGGTAAATGGTGAACACACCCGTGAAGGGCTCTCAGTTTTATTACCACAACCGTCTGACTTTAGGACTTTCCCTTGGTTGGTGACATGGGTGTCACTCCAAAGCCTGCTGTCTCTGCAACCTGCCATGGCTCATGGGGATACAATGTCGATGGACACTGCACGTCCTAGATAAAATGTGCTATCCCTCCAGCGGAAGGTTGGCACCGTAACAGAAGTTTTTTTTTTTCTGCTGGAGAACACGGCGATCTCAAGTGCTCAGCACTTACTCGCTGGCTCAACGACGAATTCAAAATTCATTGACGAAGCACAAAATTCATCTTTGTCACGAAGATTGAGCCATTTGGGCGTGACTTGCGAGTCTTGTTATGCTCGTGTGTTAACCTGGCGCACACTTATTGTAAGTAAAAAAAACAACACATTTGTCAATGACTGTGGCCTTGAAGGAAATACTAAGAGGTAACGTTTCGGCATTGGCCATATTTCATAGCACGTGAAGAACGGCTGTGAAGAAGGGCCCATTGCCCAAAACGTTGCGTATGATTTTTTTCAATTAGACCACTTATTGACGATTTATACTTTTTTTTATTGTGCTTGTGCACAACTGGCAATACAGCAGTAGCAGGCAATTTTTATTTTGGAAATTCCGCTCGTCATGGATTATTGAGCGACTAGTAATGAGAAACCTCACCCGATGACCCCGAATGATGTGCCTAATCCCTACTCGCCTGCCATCCAAAATCAACCCCTTGACGCGTATGAAGACAGACGGTCGGGCCCGTCTCTAGCCGCATTGCGCACTCGAGCCGAATACACGCAACAACCACCGCCATTCGACATTAAGTTGCGTTGATGTCACTGGCGTTTGTGCCAGGTTAGGCCAGGCTATGCACAAGCGTGACGTGTTGGTTCGCTTCCAGGTCGTGAGACGGATCCAGCACACCACTACCCTAACGGACCACCACAAATCTGCCCGTGTCCGTTAGCCGCACCACTGGCATTGAGAAACGAAAAAGATCTGAACTTTTTAATTGATCTCGGCTGAAAACTCATTTCTTTCAAAAAATGTTTGGGTGTGTCGTTTGTTGTCCACCGGCAACTCCCGATGAGCATGGTGGGCTATGGACGGTGCGAAAGAAGTTCAACAAATAAATTGCGGCATGGGACCGGTGTGGCGGTCATTGTTGCCACAAGGCGGCGCCTTCGTGCCACGAGGTTGCCGAGTACCGGCATGAGGCAACATGCCTCGGGAGAGGGGGGTGGGAGTTCAGTGCAATAATAAATATAATACACTCGGGTTTTTTTCACAGCGCCATTCGCACCGGGTCTCAAAGTGCTTTATACAAAGCTTCAGTTGTGGAGAAAGCCTGCAACACGCGAGTTTTAAGACGCGATTTAAAACGTTAACAGACTCAAGATTCTCTCATGAATCGGAATCTGTATTGGACGGCAGGAATCCGATGAGTTCTGCAACTCTTTTTCACAGATGTCCCGTCATGGCCCGAGGAAGGAGGGCCATTCCACAATAGCGGAGCCTGGCTGCAAAACTATTCCCCGCTGAACAAAGTCTCCGGTCTTTGGAATAATAAGTTGAGACCAGAATCGCAGTGGACTATAAAACTTAATCAGATATTTCGGTGGTGAGATATTTAGGAGCCAACCCATTGAAGTCCAGTACTGTATTTAATCAATCTATACTACAGGAGGAATCCGATGAGCTATGAAGCTCTTTTTCACATGTCCGGTGAGGTCACGGGGTCATTACCGCTTGCGCTGCAGACCACGTGGCGATCGTCTTTACAGCGCTGCTTCTCACGCTCCAGGCCTCGCGAGCCCCCACCACCGCCCTCGCGTTTTAACAATTACCAATCATCTTGAATTCGTATCCACGTTATAACTTGCACGCTGCGCCGGTTGGTGCGGCCTATTTTTTGAACGATGGGATGTATTTGTTATAACCAGCACTCAGCAGTATGAATGGATACCTTCACGGGTCGTCATTTTGGTAGATCGCGCGTGGTGGGGGAGAGTGTGAGTACAAGATGTCTTTGCCATCGTGGAAAAGTAGCCGAAGAATCCTCTCGAAAGGAGCTCCCTGGCCTCGAAGCTCCGTCGAGCTCCGCCGAATCGCAGACCCTTCCGACAGCATTGGCGTTAGCCAAGCAATTGTAGGGCCGCGCCTTTAACGTTTACACACTGCACGCACCTGATGGTGAGTAAAGCTATGGTGGGGCGTTCGCTCGGACTGGAGTTGACAAACACTGTGTTCGGGCAGGATGCCACTGGTTAGTGATGGGGCTGGGAATTCTGTCGCGAGCAGCACACGTGTTTCGTATTGACTCCGTGCCGAGTGAGGCTGGTTTAATCAGTAGCCGGGTGATCCATTGTTTAGGAATCCTTTTAAAGGGGGGGGGGGGGGCGGGGCAGCTTTTTTTCCAACAGTGGCGAGGTGGGGGAGGGCATTAAACACTGCATCGGGACGTCTTGGTGGGGCGGGGGGGGGGCATATCAGAATCAACACTGGACAAATCCGATGGGCTATGAAGCTCTTCTTCACAGGTGCCCTCAAATTCACTCTCGGTCGCCACGCGAGGTGACCCAGGCAGAGCCGTCCCTCGGGTACGGCGAATCGGGGCGACCGCCCCGGGCCCCGCACCCCCCTGTGGAGGGCCCTGTGACCAGGAGACGGAGTTTCACCAAGCGGGATCGTGAACCCATCTGTGCCCGCATAGCTTCCTCCGGGTGCCCTGGTTTCGAAACGAAACAGGTCGTTTCCGCCTGAGGACGACCGCTTGTGTTGCGATCGAAACGTGGCGATTTTTATTTTATTTTTCTACCCACGTGACTTCACCGAAAGAACCAAAGAGCATGGATTCCTGCAGTCACGAAAGCTTCAAATCAAGATTGAAACAGATCACTTGAGAATAAAACAAAATTGGGCAAATATACAAATATACATCATCAGCACCCTTCTCGTGATGAGAGACTTTCCTCAAAA